TACATATCTAATAGATATAGATACAGTATCTGATGCAAAATATCATATTAAATTACTTCATAAATGCTTGATGTTTTGAATATTTTATCTTTATATTTCTTCGGATTGTTACTCAGGTAGATACGATTCGTTGTGATTTCACGCGTTTGTGTTAAAAGACAGCCCTTTTCCGATATGAGTCACTTCTCTTTTCTGCTGAGACTACCTTAGAGAATGAGCTCTTTCTATACTATCAATTTCTTTTATCGTTCATTGTTCTGTATCCATCAACGGTTGATAACTATAGAAAGATGAGAAAGTGCATAAATATCATTTGTAATAAATTGAGAGTATGTAACGCGGTCCATAGGATTTTTACTATTAACATTCACTTTGAAATGGGCAGAGAGTAAAGTATTGCGGTGCCCGATTATTCTCTGGAGCAACACTTTAAGAGTGTGAGTATGTGACTATGTCTTCTTCTTCGACATCTACTGATACTCAAACTCACCCATAGTGATTCTGCGTACGTCTCGTTTTCACAGAGAAAATCTGCAATCTTTATCTAATACGCATCGAGCAGGAAGCCGAGCCAAACCCAAACCATGGTTCAGTCAAAATCAAACTCGAAACCAATGAAACGAGGGAAAGATTCCAGCATGGGTTTCACAGCATATAGGTATGGGTATGGCTGTGAAATGTAATTTTATGTAACCCACATTTACAACAACCACACTCACATCCACAAGTTAATCCTGGTCCAGATAGATTTAAATACAGAAGAATAGTGTTACAGAGAAATGGGTTTAGACTTGGCAGCAGCTAGCCGCGAGTGGGGCCCTTAAGGGGCGCCGACGAGCGACTAGCTGCTGCACGGAGTTATCTACAGAAGTCTCAATTCAAAGTGTAGGGATTCATTGAATAAGCATCAATAGTCGAGGTTCAATGGGTCTGATTAAGCAATATCAGTTGTAAAAAGCTGAAAAAACTATGTGAAGTGAAGGAGGAGAAACAGTTTTTCTGCTGGATGCAATAGCTGAATAATTCACCAGACGAAAAACATTACTCGAAGAGTTTGTATTTGCTATATCAGCAGTGGACATGGATGAAATAAACTAGTGTTTCTCTTGGTATATGCTTCTCTTTGTATTAACTCAAGTATCTGCATGTATACTGATATATTCAAATTACCTGTCTAGTTAATAATATCGTTAGTTTACGTGTTAGTAAGTGAATGAATTTTTAGTAAAAATTTTAAAAAGTACGGCATGTTTTTCCAAAAGTGTTGCAAATGTGTTTTGTTTGATTGCCTCTCAGAAAACTGAATATAACTTCTTTTCGTTCGGGTACGGGTGGATATCGTCGCCATAAACTAGTTCTTTAGATTTTTGTTGAGAATCAGTGTGAGGTTGTCAATTTAATTGGATGTATTCGTGACAAAAATGATCATTCGGATCCCCACACTATTTTGCACAACGAGATTGCCGTTAACACTAGCATCCACATACCTACCCACTCTTTTGAAATATTAGGTACTAGTCGTGTTGACGACTGTAAAGCACTATAAAATATCAAAGGGTCGAATATACAGTCGAGGATCAAGCGAGTCACACGGAGGAGCATTACTTGTGATAAACGATGGGCAAAATCTTGCTTTTCTTGTATAGTGATGTAGTTGTTCGATAGCTTTGACGCACGGGCCCACTTTTTGTGACTCTTGAAAAGAGCTAGTTTTGTAGAGCTTTCAAAGCTCTATCGAATGGTATATAAACCAACTTGGGTCATCATTTCTATTTTGCAAAATTCAAGGGATTAAATGTTTTTCATATGTAAAATGAAGAATAAGATGCTATTATGTAGGCAACGGACAGTTCCCATTTTACCTAGTTACAATTAAAATAATATCATAGGTAGTTAATTTTATATGGAAAATGCAGCCTGATGATAGATCTATCAAAAAATCGTTGAGTGAATGCCAATTTTTAACTTTCTTTCTTCAAAAAGTTTATCATAATATTAAGCTGTGTTTTTGTGCAACTAATGACTGAGGACGTAGTCAATGCAAGACCCAAAGAAGAGTCAAAATCTCATCAAAACACATCGAATTTGACATCAAAATGATCGTACACTTTTTTCTATCGATTCATATATGACTGAATGGTATTTGTAATCGAAATTAAAAGGGGCCAATTTCCAGTCTTATACGCCCCCGTCGTTTATGGCGTCATCAAAAACAATTTACTTCAGCACTATTTTAAAATTTACTTTAGAGTTCCAACCAATTTTTTACGACTGTAAATATTAATTTATCAGCAAGATAGTAGAAAAGAAAAGGTTAAACGAAGTGAAATTCATTAGAATCATTGATTTATAAGAAGAATCAACGATATTGGCTGATTTTCGTTCTCTGTCTATGTCAATAATAGCGAACGGCAAATCAAGTTATTGATGACATATTAGAACAAAACAATCAAGGTTTGTTCCTTGTATTGCGATTCCGTCATTGATAATTAACATTAAGTAAGATCAGAACAATGGAGATTTACAAGAGTCAAAGAAATAAATGAGACCTAGGTATCAAAATATCGTTCCATTTTCTATGACAGGTTTTCGTGCAGTCTTGAATTATTAAGCAATTTCATATTTGTAAGTATGAGTTAGACTGTATTTTTTTTTTATCGACGATTCCACTACCAAACGAATGTTATTGTCATGATCATATTCTACTAAAAACAAAGTATAACAAGAAAGACATCAAATTCAAAATGTAATCGAAGTCTTGATATCTTCAATACATATTGATAGATCTGTAAAGTTCAGATATTCAATGGATTACAAGAAAAATGAATGAAAGTATATCGTCTTCGGAGAGTTTCTTTAAATTATGCATAAATATATTTTTGTCATGTGATATTTCTGATAAAACAACCAGTGAAAACTAAACAAATGAGAACAAATTTATAGACTCCTTCCCGATGCAAAACAATGGATTCAAAAACTTCAATACTTCAAAGGACAAGAGACCATTATATTTCTTTTCTTTGGATTATGTCAGTCATTGAGATAGTTATTCACGAAAGTTTAGAAATTTGTTTATGTTTTGCGCCGCAAATACTAGCGATAACAGAGTACCTTGACTCATGGATACCCTCATCGTCAAATGAATGCTTTTTTCCTTGTACAAGAACTAACATCATTCATTTTACTTTTCTTAGTAGATCACACGACACATGGGAGCAAACACAAGCACCGAAGAAACGAATGAGGAATCTATTCTTCGTCATCCACAAGAGGGGGAGGCTAGTGATCTTTATTGGGCTTGCCGAGCTGGTGACATTGATACCGTTCAACGGCTTATTACGTTAACTCCCTACATTGATATTAATCGACTTGAACCGAATGGTAGCACAGCTCTACATGCAGCTTGTTTTTTTGGTCATGCTAATATTGTTCGACTTCTTTTGCATCAATATGGAGTTATAAGTCATCGACGAAATTATCATGATCTCACTGCCTATGAGGAAGCAGCTACTGACGAGATTCGTCAACTATTTCATCGTCCATCAAGCTCACAGAGGTTCTGCAGTAGTACGACATCCGATGCCGAGCATCTTTTTGCTCCGAACGTTACTGAGCAATCGGAAGACGAAGATGACGAGCCTGATAATTGGGTTCGAGGAGCAAATAAAGAGGGAGCCGGTTATCACTCTGCTTCGATGGTAGGTGCTGCAAAAACACTGACTACATCACCATATCTACAACCATTAATTCAATATCTTATTCGTAGACAATACAGTCGTTTTGATGCATACGACGAAAACACAGCGGCAGAAACTTTACGACGTCGTATTGACCAGTACGTCACCCCATCGCATATTCAATATCATAAAGCATGCGAACTTGTCTCAAAATATGTAAACACGAAAAATGTGGAATATCTTTTGCGTCTTTACTCGCTTGAAACACCCTTTTACAGGAACCTTGGTAAAAATGAAGAAACTGTTTGTTTCATGCTTCCAATTTTTTTTAAACTGAATAGTTTGGAAAATCGTGCCTACACAGGTCAGTCGTTTCGTGGTTTGACAATGACTCCACAGGATCTGCAAGCATATCAATGGGCTTTCAAACATAAAGGCAGTATCTTGATAACAAGTAGTTTATGTTCGACGTCGGTCGACGAGAGCGTGGCTTGCAATTTTATTGGTGCTTCCTCGCCTGACAGAGTTCCCGTTTTGATGGTGTTCAATTTCCCAGAAAAGTGTGACACAGCAATCCAACTCTTTCGTCTGTCTGACACTTTACCTTCCATATCCGAGTTTGAAAATGAAAAAGAAGTTCTTGTTTTACCGCCAACGTTATTTTATGTCACCAACATTGAAATTGACCCAGCCAGTGGTCAACATACAATCTATCTTGAAAACATTTCAACACCACGGGGAATTTTACCAGTATTAAAATTCTTTTGGAATCTTAAGTTTGGTCATGACGAATATGTATTTTAAAAAGTTCATAGCTGTGAAATAAAACAAGATGTTAGAATAATTGTGATTCAGTCTATAAATACCAGCTATTTTGAATGGATTTACTTTCGACATTTTTAGTGAGCACAAATGAGCTGAGATAGTTATCATTTTGAATTTATTAATGTGCTTTATTAAATAAATTAAAATGCAGATATTTTTTTCACAGCTGTCAATGAAGCATTGAGTTTTTTTTACTAAAGCATAATCCTAACAAATAATTCACAGTTGCATTAGGTACTGGTACAATTTATGTTATTTTATTTTTAATCATATTCTTCTAAAACAAAGTTTTTCTTTCTGACTTTACAGGTACGTTTCAAGAAAAAAAACTTGAAAATCGTTATTTAGAAGTGTAAATAAGCAGAATTTAAAATGTTCTTCTTGGAGTTGTACATGTTTCATAATAGTTTAGATTTCTAACGAACTCCTGTATAAACGTACCATAGAATATGAAACATTTTCTAGTGATTCTTAATATAGTAAAAAGCTAACCAAACTCACCCGAAACTGATAACTTCGGATAAAACATGTATTGAACAAGGAACTTAATTATTTTCTAATAGAGTTGCGAAAGCAAAATCGGTGAAGATTAAAACTAAAATATGAACTCGGCAAGAATTCACTAATGAATTTATGAGATCGACAAAGATCATAATACTCTAGATTTGCAGTTTCATTCTTGACGAAACCAAGAAAACATGCATGATTAGCATAAAATTTCAATGTTACGCAAATTAAGTAGTGTAAATATGCGCAGACACAGCTAATTCTGTTAAGAGGATTTAAAAATTTGTTGACATCAATTCGAAGTTATTAAAAATATAGTTTATTGGATGATTCATCCCATACAACCATTTTGTACGGTCGATTGTACACTGTTGGGAGCACTGGTCTGTACTATGGATCTCGAATATTCCTGCAGATACGTAAAAAATGATGATTATCGGAAGATCAATTCGACGAACAAGTTAATCGGGCATATCTCAATCTAAAATTAAGCCTAAAATAATCACTAATGAGTCGATAGATACTACGCCATTCCACATCAATGCATTTCTAAAATCATCGCCCGATAAATAGTAATTATATTCAAATTAATCTTGTGCATGATTGTATCCGTAGATTTTGTTCGTCCAGCCAAGATAGTTTGAATTTTCACGTATGTTAAATATTGTATCAAGTCATTGAAGTCAATTATTGGAGGCTTTTCAAATACTTCTTATGGATTGCTTTCAAATGAGTAGAACAATATCAAACTAGTAAAAGGCTGATATTACTTCATTTTATTGAAATACAGATAATACTGATTGAGTTTTTGTAACATGTTGTTATTGATCAGCTCAAAATATGATAGCGATACATTGAAAAATAAAATTTTTAGTTTGTAACAGCTGTCTACAGAGCAATGATTTTGTATCCTCCCAGGAGATTCAATCCGACTTGTGAATTCAACCGGAACATGTCGGTTACCATTCCAGATTGCGCCGGAATCCGACATCTTCCATTAAGAAGTCTGTCGGATCCTACAGGGTTTGCGTCGAATTCCCATCACCCGGATTTCGAATCGGATTGCATTGGAAATCATGCGGTCGAATCCGGTCGTAACTGACAGCATATCTTATCGTATCAGTTAGGAACCGTCTTCCGAAAAGAGTCGGATGATCAAGGACCGTAAACTGGAAGATGTCAGATTTCATCAGATTCTCTGCAAAAAAACTCCAGCATCGGATTTTGCCGGAAGAGATCCGATCAAATCATGATAAATCCAAAAATCGGATTTCACCGGATTTGAACCGTACTCTACCACCATTTCAAACTCGACCGGGATGTGGATGTGACTCAACAGAAGACCCACGCCCCACACCCATATATAAAATTAGATGATATTGGAATGATAGAGAGTTGTACTTTAAAGTCCTCTTTAATTAATATCATCTAAAGCTTTGCTCACACCTATTTACATACCTTCGTATCCATGGGAGGATATATTCCACTGGCGCATAAGTTCTGAGAGTTTGGATGAGTAGAATAATATCGCCAATATAAAACTACATTTTAAGGAAAGTAATTATATATTCTGATAGCGCTCGGAATTCTCTATCACCCTGTGTATTTAAGTCTTGACTTCCATTTATTTGCTGAAAAATAGTTTGAGTACAGTGAAGACACCCTCGGCCTCAGATTCCCACAAACTTCATTTTTTCTTCTTTTCTCATGTGTTTTTAAAATTTTTATCTATATAGTAATCCGTTTTTTAGAAAAGTAATTATATATTCTGAGAGCTCTTGAAATGCTCTAGCGCTCTGTGTATTCAGTTCTTGACTTAAACTTATTTGCTGAGAAATATTTCGAACATTGTCAATGCGGGTGAGGATGTCTTCATTGTATTCAAAATACTTTTCAGCAAATAAATGCAAGTCAAGACTTAAATACACAGGGTGATAGAGAATTCCGAGCGCTATCAGAATATATAATTACTTTTCCTAAAATGTAGTTTTATATTGGCGATATTATTCTACTGATCCAAACTCTCAGAACTTATGCGCCAATGGAATATATAACTATAGAAAATCTAATCCCTATTGAAAAATTTCTAACTATCTAAGTAAATCTCGTGTGTCTACTTATAGTCATCAAGTCTTTTTTAAACAGAAGTTTGAGTGAAAAAATAATGAAAAAAGCAAATATTTTGTTGTTTGAACGTAGCATGTCACCTCAAACTTAAAAGACTTATGTTTATAAAATAAAAATCTTTGTCTACAAATATGCTCCGAACTATCCACATACTTCTAAACTATTTCTTTATCTGCAATATATTTTGTGGAGTAGGTATTTCAATGTGTATTCATTGTTGTTTTCTAGTTACTGGTTGGTATCGAATAGAGGCTAATGGGATCAAACGGAAGTATTTATTTTTGTTTATTTAAACATTCCCATTGAAGCAATATTTGCTATATTGATTTTCACCATGTTATGAGCTATTCGAAATGGACATAGGCAAAATTATTGTAATGTCTTGTAAAATGTCTGATCAATATTCACATAACATGTAATTCAGATGCTTTTTTCATAGTGAATCATACAGAAAAAGATAAAACATTCGAAATTCTATGAGATAAAATCAACTATTCATATCAATAAATATTTAGTCTACTCTGGTTTAAATAACTGTCAAGGTTGTAAAAAGCTATGTTCATGTTTGAATAGGACTAATGTCCATTTCAAAATAAAAGAAGGGTGGTTGTTTTTCGAATAGCTCTTCAACAGAAAGAGCTATCGATCTGCGATTTTCACTATTAGAAAGAGGCTGACATTTTGCATCGTTCTATATACTAGTTGATAAAACTTGCTCATAATTTTAATGAGCAGTCAGTGAAATTCAAAGAAGTAGTTAAAGTGGTTTGAAAAATGTATGGAATTTCAATTATAAAGAGTACGTTAGATTCTCCTACTCAAGCTCTACAACTCTCCATAGACTCGAAATTTTTATTTTGTATTATTCAAAAGGGTGTGGGTGTACTATCTATAATGTTTCGTGAAAATTTCATTAGATAATTTTTTTTTTCAGGATTCAATGGATGACTATGATCTGTAATTATAACACAGTTTGCACCATCAAAACGTGCACGATCCGCATTATTATGTAAAAACTGATCCTTATTTTCTAAAGATTTTACAAACGAGCATGGTATAGTAACAGTAGATATTTGTTTCTTTCTTTTTTTATTGATGATGATGAATTAATTCGTTGTTGAGAACAACGTCAAGCATTCGTTTCGGTTTGTTGTTATATTTATTATTTGAATCTAAACTCAAATGGTATTAAAGCAAAAACAACCAGCATTTCTTTTTGTTTCACTAGCTTTGTTAATGTGTTGTATTACCTTTCAATTGTAGTAATCGAACAAAAAATTCAAAACCTATTAAATTCAATTTTAATTGTGTTTTTTTTGCAATTAAAATTAATCGAATAGAAAATAATCCTAAGTTTCAAATTTTCGTTTTTCAAATTTTTATTTGAAGATTTAATAGAACTTGTATATTCAGTTTTACTTTTAATTAACTGCAATGAATAGGGTTCGCTAAATATTAGGTATCACTAATTCTATGTAATGAGCTATAATTTCTAGAGTTTGCAAGACATAATTGTTACTATGAATATCATGAGCATTTTTTAAACTTGAACACACCATCTAATTGTCAGACAAAGTTGAATGGATACAAACTGGTCGAGAGGCAACAGCAATGACTACTCGTAAGTGTCTTGTCTTCATACACACATACTCATCAACTCACTTTACATTTGGAATAAACGTTGAAGATGAAATCTCCTTGAAAGCTTCTCATATAACACTTGATAATTACTTTTAATAGAAAAAGCATCATATCATTCTTTATACTATGTAAAGCTTTATAAATATCATCTCAGATCTATCTCAGTCAAAAACTTCTTTAGCGAAAAGTTCATATCCTCTAGATATATTTTATTCAATTATTTTAGATAAAAACATCTGTATTGAACAAAACCTCGTATCATCCACAAATTGCAGTAACTTTTCTTAAAATAAAATAATTTTCTACGTACACTTTCATTGTTGAAATTTTTTTAAAGTTAACTATCAGATTTATTCATTTTACAGAACATTAATTAAACCAAAAATTTAGAACAATTTTATGATAGTTAAAGGTAATATTCTTCATATTTGTAAATGATTAGCAATTATACATAATATAGTTTGATCATGAGATCAACATCGTTAGATCAAGTCACTTTTTCTAAATTACATGTGAAAATCATTTATACTTCATATATGAATACAAATATTCAATCAATCCTATCAACACAGTTCAAATAAATGAGCATAAAAATCTCAACAAAAACTATTCACTTCATATGCAAATCCTAGAACGAATCAAGATTTCATACCATTAGAAATTATTTCGTGTCTATGT